CGGGCGCCCTCGGGTAGGGGATCCCGGGCCGCAGCGCCCCTTCCTGGGCCTGCTGCGCCCCTCCCGCTGCGACCCCAGGTTCCCCCAGACCGCCCCGTTTCCCCGAACCCGCTGCCCAGGTTGCTTCCTGTTTGTAGTCCCTGCGCCCCAGAGTCGCTCCGGGTTCCCGAACTCTTCTCCGCCAAAACGCTCTCGTGTCAACCAGTAGTTTCCTCCGCCGTCCCCTCCCCCAGCTTCTGGTAGCTCCCTCCTTCCTCTCCTCCCTTCCTCGTCACCTGGGCTTAAGAAATAGCTGTACCTTCTCCTGGTTTCTGAGCTCCCTGACGACCCTCACTCTCACCCGCTGGGCGTGGGGAGCGCAGGCCCAGACTGGCCTAACCCGGGAAGGGGGAAGGCCAGGTGCTCGGATGGGCGGGCACCTAGCCGAGGAAACAGCCTCCCACTGGGTGCAAATAAGTTTCCAGCAGGTTATCTCTCTCTCAGAGCCAAACTGACCTAGGGGTAGGGAGAGACCAGCACGTGGTGGGCCCGGGTGGCCATGTGGGGGGAGTATCTTGATTTTTCATATTCCATCAGAGTTTGTGTTTTTACTATTTTCTATTGAGGCTGAGAGCTGGTCCAAAGCAGCCCATTCGTTCAGGGAGATAAAAGCTGAATTTAGGTACATGGGTGTCTGTCCTCCATTTAAAGCATCCCTGCCAAAAAACTGTCTGCAAAAAGTTAATTCTTTTGTCTCATAGTATAAATCTGACTCCTAATGGATGAGTTGAGTGTATCACATTTTCAGGGATAAACAACCTGGGGCCCTACACCCCACCTCAGAGCTCATTATGAAGGAGAAGAGACTCAGCCTTAGGTAAACTTGTGAAGGAAGTAAAAACTACCCCCTCTGCCTCTTCACCTTCCCCCAGCCATGCTGTTGCCCCAGGTCTAGGGTTTGAGAGCTTACAGATAGGGAAAGGTTCCAAAATGATCTCTCCTTCCCCTTCTCCCTGTCCTCAGCTGTCAGAACGTGATCCAATAAACTAATTTGTATTTGGGGGGAACTCGCCAATTCTGAAGAGTGAATTTCTGATGCTTCCAATGCAGGAAATCCAGGCAGGAGGAGATAATTGGCAGTAGAGGGGGATCTGTTTAGGCAGGTGACTTTGGGCGCCTTAGTACACAGCATATATAGACCATGTCCTAGAAGTGTGACTGGCCCTGTGTGATTGTAGGGCATCCCTCATTTCTGTTCCACCCCCGGGTCTCTGGTCTAGCTGTTTTCCCAGACAGGATCACCAAGTAAAGTGTGACCCCAGCAAGTCCACTACCTTCTCATTTGGTTGTTTATCATTAGGGAAGAGGAGTGCTCCTTCCTGCTGTCTTCTGTCCAAGTTGACAAGGAATCTTCGTGCCTCTTTAAGAAATAATACTGTCTTTAAAGAGAACTCATTTGCTAGAGTTTCTCTGATTTGCAGTTAGAGTAGCCAGGCATAGAGTGAGGTAAAGATTAGCCCCTTGCAAAACCAGCTCTCTAACAGACTGTGCTGGCCACCCTGCCTTTCTCCTGTGTCTCTCGTTCTTACTGGGGTCTTCTTTTTCATTAAAGCCCAGCTGAAGGTTTTTGGAGACTATAAACCAAATTTGAGCCTAGATAAGACCCCCTCACAGAAATTGCAAGATAATAGTAGTGCTTGCCAAGGGTCAGATGGCCTCTGAGATAAGGAAGTATGGAAAGAACGTCTTCAGGAGTTTGCTAAGATATTTGGTGTATCTTGATGAGTATTCATTATGTCCTGAGCCCATTTATAAAACCAGGGAGCTCATAGTCTAGCAGAAAGGTGACTACTGAGCCCTACAATAGCAAGCAGTATCACATGAAACGTGATAAGAAGTGGTTAGTCCACCTGGGAATATTTGGAATGACAGTGGGCGCTGCCACTTTGGGAAAGGTTATGACCCCTACAACTAACTTTGAAAGAAGACAAGATTGCCAGCAGCCACTCCCCTCTTGCCATGGCCGTCTAAGCATTCTTCCTCTCTTTGTCTCCTCTCCTACCCTTGACTGCCAGATGAATCTTCCTACAACACAGTTCAGGTGTTATTAACCTGCTACCTGCTGCTTGCAAAAAACTGTCAGGACTTGGCTTGGCATTGGAGGTCCTGCAAACTCATCAGCCCATTCTTTCCCCAGCCACACTTTGTAGAGTTCCTCTGGAGGGCAGTGTCTTCTTTTTCTTGTTGAAATCTAACCCAGTTCTTCAAGTTTTACTTCAAACATGACTTCAGTAAAGTCTTCCTTGTTTCAGCCTGTTAAATGTGACCCCTCTTTTCTGAGTGGTCACTTTCTACTTCTCCTGCAGCCACACATTATTTCCTTGGAGTTCAATTAGTTTTCAGTGCAGTTTTATATCCTCCTCTCCATGACCTCTTTCTTGAGGGGTGGGTCTTAGTCATCTTTATGTTGCTTGTACAGCCAGCATAGTGTCTTGCACATGGGAATTGCCTACTTAGCTGCTGAGCTCTGCGGTGCCTGAGAGTGTGGGGTCAAAGAGGGATGTGGTAGGCAAGATCACTGCGGAGGGCTTAGGGGAGCTGCTGGCCCCTAGCTGGACCTTACTGGGGCCTCTCAGAATCTAGACAAGTTAGGGGGATGCAGGGTACCCTGGGCAGAAGAGTGGCCCAAGCAAAGCCTAGAGGCAGAAATAAATACCTGTGGGAAGAGATGATTTGATTATACATTTTTCTTCTGCAAATATAGTAGAACCTCTGAAGTTGACCCACCCAAGCGACTGTATCAAACTGGTCAGCATATGGAGATGGTCAACATAAGGAACTTCCATTGAGTACATGCAGTGCATGTCCAGTCTGTGAAAACTAGGTCAACTTAAGAAGGTGTCATCTGTGGAGGTTCTACTGTGTTTATTCTGCCAGAAAAGAGAAAAGATGACTTTTTATTTGGGGAGGAACTTGCAGGGAAAGCGTTTGTTCTCAGTTCAAGGCCAGTTCCAGCCAGTGTGCAGGTCGAAAGAGTGCTTAGGAAAAGTGGGAAGCTAAGGAGCTTGCTCAGAGCAGAATCAGAGTTGTCCAGGCCAATAGGGGGAGCCAGTAGAGGAGGTGGCAGAAGCAGCGCTGGCCAAGGAGTGAGGGCTGCGCAGCACAGGGCTTGGACACTAGGTGAAAGCACATTATAAGTAAGGGACTTTCTTAATGTCATGCTAACGTTAGTTACCTATCATGATCTTGAACGCAGATTTTCATAGATTCTAAGATTGAGAAGGACCAGAGAGCTGTATCTGTGCCAGCTCTCGATCTGGGGTTTTCATTTTGTTCTTTTGGGGTTGGTCTCCTATGTTCCTATATGTGCCTTGATTGTAGCATAACCATGTTGTATTGAAGTGATCTGTTTCTGTGTCTGTTTCCCTGAACAATATTGTTAGCTCCTCCAGATCCGGATCATGACAATGACATGTGGCAGGAAAATAGCATTTCCGGGAGAGAGGGCTGTCTAGGGAGACGTGCCAGGAGATCCTTGGTGAGATAGGGAGACAATGCCAGTATGTCCTGGGGAATGTGTGTTGCTCTTCCCTTTGAAAATTTGGGAGCAAGGCCGGGCGCGGCGCTCATGCCTGTAATTTTAGTGCTCTGGGAGGCCGAGGCAGATGGATTGCTTGAGCTCATAAGTTTGAGACCAACCTGAGCAAGAATGAGACCCTCTCTCTACTAAAAATAGAAAAACTGAGGCAAGAGGATCACTTGAGCCCAAGAGTTTGAGGTTGCTGTGAGCTATGATGCCACAGCATTCTACTAAGGGTGACAAAGTCAGACTCTGTCTCAAAAAAAAAAAAAACCTGGGAGTAAAATGTCTCTTCCAGGGCCTAACACTGATCTGACACTTAGCAGATACATGGAAGGGCCACAAGGGCCAGAGACAATGGGCTCCATGGCCACTGTAGCCCACTGAGGTGGTGTGTCTGCTCTCTCCACAGCGGGAGCCCAGCATTGACCTGTTGCAGGCCTTCGTGGAGCACTGGAAAGGCATCACACATTACTACCTTGAAAGCACAGGTAGGGCCTAGTCCTCCCCAGCCCAGACACCCTAGAAGGGGCAGGGAGTAAGGTGTGGCCAGGGCATCACTATACAAGTGTCCTGGGAAGGTGACATCTACTGTCCAAGAGTTCAGAGTTGGGGCCAAGCTAATGAAGATAGGGAATCAGACAGATGGGAGGAAGACATAGAGGCCCGGACACCTCTATTCTAATTCTTGAGTTGCTGGCCCCACCCTAACCTTCCCTTAACCTGTTTAAGGGAAGAGTAGGCAGAGGATGTTGGGAGGGTCTCACTGGCCTGACTCTGCAAGTGGAGCCACTTTTCCCAGCTTCCAACCAGGTAGAGTCTCCAAGGCCTTCAGTCCCCAGATGCTTGTGCCTAGATTAAAAGAAAAGAAACTTAATACATTCCTTGAACCAACACAAGGACATTTCCCTTGTAGAGATCCTGGGTAGGAAGGTATGCAGCATGGCCTGGTCCTTCTTCCCAAGCTGACACCCCAGAGAGCCAAAGCCCTGGGTCATCTGGGCCTGTGGGGAATCACTCACTGAGGGGCAGAATCTGATTGGCTGCTCTGCAGGCACTATGCCAATATTGGTAGATACAGACTGGTTGCCAGGTAACCATGTTCTGCATCCCTAGTTTTCCACCTCCTGGAGTTCAGAGACTGGGGTTTGATCCGAGCCTACCGTTTCCTAAAGGCCTTCTTTCCAGCTTGAGCCAGTCCATGAAATTAAAAGGTGACCTTTGGATACTCTGAGGGACCCTCTGAGAGTTCCATTAGAGGAAGTTTCCCAATCTTGACGTGGTTGACCGTACTGGATCCTTCTTTGTTCTGGGAGGCTGTCCTGTGCAGCTCGCTGTGTTCTGCAGCAGTTCCGGCCTCTACCCACTAGATGCCAGTAGCACCTACTTCAATTGTGGCAACCATAACTATCTCCAGACATTGCCTCATGTTCCCTGGGGGGCAAAATTGCCCATCCCCCAGTTGAGAACCACTTAGACTTTTAGACTCAAGATTTCTTGACAGTCTCAGCATACCAGGAGAGTGGGATGAGGTGCAGATCTGATTCAGATCTATATAGGGCTGTGCCTGCATCTAATCTTTTAACTTCCAGAGTGATCCCTAGACCACAGGTATGGGAAGTAGGTGAGGTAGGTTGGCTTGCTCAAGCCCCTGTGCCTTAGAGAAAAGCTAAGGGGTGCTCCAAGGCCAGTTACCAAGTACCAAAACTTTTGTTAAGAAACACACTGTATCCCCTGAGACTGACTACAGCAGCCCCACTAAGTTGCTTCCCTGTTGTTGACAGAGGGAGCAAGTTTAGTGATGGTGCATGGATTCTTTTTCTCAGCCTGGTGCTTGGGCACAACTTCTGAGTTAACGTGACATACCCCTGGGCCTGCAGCATCTCACTCAGGCCCAGAGCTGACAGGCAGCCTGACAAGCCCACAACTAGGTGTTCCTGCCCCCGGTGTGGGACATGCTGCTGCCCTCTGATGGGGCATGCACTCATTCTCAGGCAGAGGGCTGTGTCCTGGGCCTCTTCCAAAAGGACATTTGTGTGTTTTTAAATACAGAAATACCAACTGTAGACTTCTGTTTCCTGGTCGCCCTCAGCCCCTCCACCCATCTCTCAGACAAGCCTCCTCCCTTCTGGGCTGTGGCAGAGAGGGTGAAGTGCCCTCTCACACTTGTCTCCTGAATCTCACTTAGATGAGAGCACCCCGGCCAAGAAAACAGACATTCCCTGGCGGCTGAAGCAGATGCTGGACATCCTGGTGTATGAGGAGCAGCAGCAGGCGGCCGCAGGCGAGGCAGGGCCCTGTCTGGAGTACCTGCTGCAGCACAGGATCCTGGAGACGCTGTGCACTCTGGGCAAGGCCGAGGTGGGCAGGCTGAGGTGCCCTGGAGCCGTCTGCTAGGACCCCTGGACTCCAGGCTTGTCTGCCTGTGCCCTTTCCAGTCCTGACACTGGGGATGGGGGACAGGTGCTGGGGCTGGCTCACTCAGAGCATCCCATCCCTCCCAGGGGCATTCATTCCACAAAGGTGCACTGAGCACCTGCCATGTGCTGGGCTGTGTTCTAGATGTGGGAGACACAGCACCAGGAAGCCTAATGGGAGGCTCTGCACCTGTAGCACAGTGGTTACGGCACCAGCCACATACACCGAGGGTGGCGTGTTCAAACCCAGCCCAGTCCAGCTAAAACTACGATGACACCTGCAACAAAAAATAGCCAGGTGGTGTGGCGGACACCTGTAGTCCCAGCTACTTCGGAGGCTGAGGCAAGAGAATCGCTTGAGCCCAAGAGTTGGAGGTTGCTGTGAGCTGTGACACCACGGCACTCTACCCAGAGCAACAGCTTGAGATTCTGTCTCAAAAAAAAAAAGCCTAGTGGGAGAGGGGAAGGTTCATCGGACAGTATGTTCAGTGGTGACCTGGAAATGAGGGAAGATGAGGCAGGAAAGCCAGTTTTGAGCACTGTGGTGAGGAGAGGAGGCCTTGTCGGGGAGGTGCTCTCCAGCGATGTCTGAGCCAGGTGGCTCTGGGAGGAGGAGCGTCCCAGGCAGTGGGCGTGGCCTGGTCGTCTGACGAGGGGCCGTTTTCCCGCCCTCAGTACCCGCCCGGCATGCGGCAGCAGGTGTTCCAGTTCTTCAGCAAAGTGCTGGCCCAGGTGCAGCACCCCCTGCTGCACTACCTCAGTGTCCACAGGCCTGTACAGGTGAGGGCCGGGTGGCGACAGTGTCTGGGAGTGAGGCCCTCTCTGCCCTGCCGCCCCATCACTCTCTTTGTGTATCCTGCTCCCCTTCCAGAAACTTCTCCGACTTGGGGGGACAGTTCCTGGGTCCCTGACGGAAAAGGAAGAGGTGCAGTTCACCACTGTCCTCTGCTCCAAGATCCAGCAGGATCCAGCCTTGCTCACCTACATCCTGGAAGTGAGCGCTTCTCTTGGGAATGGGGGGAAGATGTGGAACCCCAGGGCCAGGCCAAGGAGGTGCTCAGGCCTTGCCAGTCCAGCTACCTTGCATGCTAATAGGGACCCTGGGGGAGAGTGTCCACCATGATCTGATCTCATCCCTCCCTTTCTGCAGGGTAAAAAGACTGTAGATAGGAAGAAGGCATCTGGAGATTCCCCTGCCCTGCCAAGGGACACAGCCAGCCACAGGGACAAGGACCATTCCCACAGCAGTGCTTCTGCCAAGGGTGCCCAGCTGGATGGGGAACCCTGCGGGGCCCAGGCCTCAGATAGCCACCTGCCTGCTGAGACTGAGGAGCCAGATGGTGGGATAGGAGAGAGCAACCTGGTCACCTCCCTGCTTGGGCTGTGCAAGAGCAAGGTGCTGGCTGTGGAGAGGGGAGGCTGGGTACCTCAGAAGGTTGAGGCGGGTGGTCATAGGAGGCTATTGGGGTCTCAAATGCCTGTTTCTGAAGTCAGACCCCATCCCCTAGAAGAGCCGGGTGGCACTGAAGGCCCAGGAGAACCTGCTGCTCCTGGTGAGTGTGGCCTCCCCAGCAGCTACCACCTACCTGGTGCAGAGCAGCACTTGCTGCCCTGCTGTCACCGAGCACCTGTGCCAGCTGTACCAGTCCCTGCCTGCCTTCCTGGACCCTGCAGACATTGCTGCCTTGGAGGGCATCAGCTGGAGGTGGGTTCTTAGCCAGAGGAGGCAGCAGCATCTTTGGTGGCAGGAAGCCCTGCCTGTTCCTGGTGGCCGGTTCCTCCATTGTTCCAAGTGGGCTGGAAACTCCTGCCAGCCACTTTACCCTTGAGGTTGCAGCTGATGCCCCAGGGTCGCTCACTCTCCAGAGAAGCATCCTTGTTGCTGTCAGACCACAAACCCCCCCCCCAAGAGAACTGACCCCCAGCCACAGAGGTTCCATGGGAAAGAGTAGAAGGGCACAGCTTCCAGGACATCCTCACCTCTCCTTGTAGGTTGCCCAGTGCCCCATCTGATGAAGCTTCCTTCCCTGGCAAGGATGCCTTGGCTGCCTTCCTGGGCTGGTTTGATTACTGTGACCACCTTATTTCAGAGGCACACTCGGTGAGCAGGGCAGTTGTGGATGGGTCTCTCTGCACAGTCTCATCTCTGGGATACTTAGAAATGTGGTATCTGGGAACTGAGCAATGCCCCAGGTTAGCTAGGCCCCTCTGTCACATCAGGCCCTGTACAAGGACACAGTTATTTCTCAATGGAAAACTGCTATGGTTATAAAACGTTGAAGACATGCTCTTTGGCACCCAGGTGGTTGCAGATGCCTTGGCGAAGGCTGTGGCCGAGAAGCTGTTTGTGGAGACCTTGCAACCCCAGCTTCTGCACGTGTGAGTGTGTATACACTTCCCTTAGGTGGGGCCATGGTCTAGATCAAATCACCTACCTTTCCAAGCCCCTTCCTGTCCCTAAGGCCAGAAACCTTGACCAGAGTCACATCTGTGGATCCCACTAGTAATGTTTGCCAGGCCTTCCCCCTGACAAGCACGTGGCCCTGAGCCTCTGTGCTAAACGAAGGCCTCCCATCCTTAACTTCAGGGCCTCATTAGTGATGAGAAAGTGACTGGAGACATACTGGCCAAAGATGTAAAGAAACTGGGGGTAGCGCCTCTGGTTCAAAGGAGTAGAATGCCAGCCCCATATACCAGAGGTGGCGAGTTCAAACGGCTCGGCCAAAATCTGCAAAAAAAAAGATGTAAGGAAATCAAGAAGGGGTTCTGCCACCAGCCACCACTCACTCACTGCCCCTCCTCTGCTCTCCATACCTGTCTCCGAGCACCAGGCCTGAGGTACCCTCTCCCTCTCCCTACAGGTCTGAGCAGAGCATCCTGACCTCCACCGCCCTCCTCACCGCCATGCTGCGCCAGCTTCGCTCCCCTGCACTGCTGAGAGAGGCTGTGGCTTTCCTCCTGGGCACAGACCAGCTGCCTGAAGGCCCTGAGGACAGCCCCCGCACCCTGTGTGCCCACCTCATTGGGCACTGTGACCACCTCTCTGATGAGGTGCGGCGGGAGGGGCCTTCCTCTCTGCTCACTCCCTACCTTCACCAAAGGGATTTCCAGAACGCTTCTTCCCATTCTCATTAGCTTTCCCAGGTGATTCCACCTTTGAGGCATTGAACCTCCCCTCCCCAAACAGTGACACAGCGATTGGTAGTCAGGCAGTTTTTAATCACAGTAATTTTCTGTGATCACATCCTTTGGCACTTTATAGATGTATTTTGAAAACTGCTTTTATATTTATTTGGCTTGATTAAGGCTTACAACTGCTCTGTGAGGTGAATCAAGCTGATTGTCCCATTTTTCAAACATGGAAACTGAGACACAGGGAAGCCAGTTGCTTTGCTGAGATCAAATCAGTAATACAGCAGGGACCACCCCAACTTCCTAGTTCCTGGACCACCAACCACCTATTCTCCCAAAGCCTTAGCCCCCAGCCAAAGGAGTTGACTGCTGCCTCAGAGGCCTTGTCTTACCCGGGCCAGCAATTCCAGGGTCCCCCAGGGGCTGGGCTGGGCAGTGCCATCCTGCTGACCCACTTCTGGCTGTAGATCAGCATCGCCACACTGCGGCTGTTCGAGGAGCTGCTCCAGAAGCCCCACGAGTGGATCATCCGCAGCCTGATCCTGTGCCACCTTGAGGGCCGCCCCTATGTGGCCCGGGGCTCACCCGAGCCTGAGAGCTATGAGGATACCCTGTAAGTGAAACCTGGGCTACATGGGACCTAGCCTAGCCCTCAGCAGAGCCACCTTCATTTGTGTTTGTGCATTCATGGGCCTCTGCCCTGGCCACAGAGACCTGGAAGAAGACCCCTACTTCACAGATGGCTTCCCCAGCTCCGGCTTTCAGCCCTCCACAAAGCCTCGCCGAGCTCTTGCCACCAATGCAGATGGGAAAACAGCAGTGACCGAGATCGTCAACAGGTAGGGAGCAGGTTAGGCATCAGAGCCACTTGAGTGAGTTCTGTCTTTAGCCACAGCCCTGATGGGGTCTGGCCCAGGAGAGAGCTGGGGGACACATCTCCACACCTGCGCTCCTGTCTCTCAGCTTCCTCTGCCTGGTCCCCGAGGAAGCCAGAACCTCTGCTCTCCTGGAGGACACAGGCTACGACACATACGTCCACGATGCCTATGGACTGGTGAGTGTCGGCCACAGCCAGATCCATTTCTTGGGTTGATAAACTTTTTGATCTCCAGCCCAAAGAGCCCCAGAACTCATCCCTCCTGCACCGGTCCTTCCCCTTCGGCTGACTCCTTCTGACCTCTGGGTCCCTTTCCCCTTTCTCCCCTCCTGTCTCAGTTCCAAGAGTGCAGTTCCCGCGTTGCCCTCTGGGGCTGGCCTCCTAGTCCCACACCCTTGGATCCCCATGAGCCTGAACGGCCTTTCTTCGAGGGCCACTTTCTCCGTATGCTGTTTGACCACATGTCCCGGATTTTGGATCAGGTAGCTAACAGGTCTGGGCCCAGCCTGCTGCCTCTGGAGTCCTTCGGGAGAGCAGAGGTTGACCACAGGGTCGACCCCTTTTCAGTTCTCCAGCTCCATAATGGCCCCCACCCCACTTCCCCAGCCGGGAAGCCCCATCTCGCCTCTGCCCCACACGCCCTAACACGTTCTGGCCCTCAGCCCCATGGAATCCATGACACACACACATCACGTGAGTCTCCCACCCCCGCACACGTTCACACTGGCCAGGCGCCTCGCTGGGGGAGTGCAAAAATGCTCCCCACCCCCTGCCAACCCTCAGCTTTGTCCATCGTGTTCCCTACAGCCATACAGCCTGAACCTGCAGGTGACCTCAGTCCTGTCTCGGCTTGCCCTCTTCCCCCACCCCCACATCCACGAGTACCTCCTGGATCCCTACATCAGCCTGGCCCCCGGCTGCAGGAGCCTGTTCTCTGTGCTTGTCAGGGTGAGGGTGCCTGCACCCAAGGGGGTATACCCAATGGGGGTGGGACAGGAAGGAAGAGGAGCACGGCAGGGTGGTTGGGAGCTGGGGGAGTGGGCACCCTTGCCAGTAGCAGGGAAACTACAGGTGCCCTACTCTCCCTAATTCCCACAGTATGGCAGGCCATGTAGTGCTGGAATGTCACTAGCCCCTTCTCAGTCCTCTGTGGTTCCCATCCTAGGTGATCGGGGATTTGATGCAGAGAATTCAGAGGGTTCCCCAGTTCCCCGGCAAACTGCTTCTGGTGCGCAAGCAGCTGATGGGCCAGGTCCCTGGGGAGCAGTAAGTACCTGGGGAAAACGGGTACCTAGGAAGACACCTTGGGGAAAACAAGCAAAAAGTGCCCCTAATCAGGGAGTTGTCCAGTCACTGGGTCATGCTTGTGGATGTTGGCTGTCATGCTGGACCCACTCCTACCACCTCCCAGCTATGGCCCCTGTACTGTGTCCCTACAGGCTGGATCACCAGACCCTCCTGCAGGGTGTGGTAGTACTTGAGGAATTCTGTAAAGAGTTGGCCGCCATTGCTTTCGTCAAGTTTCCCCCACGAGGTCCTCACCTGAACCTCTCCCCACACCCAGAAGGGCAAGTCTGAGCCAGGAGCAGGACAGTGGGAGACTCCTGTCCACACCTCTGCCCTAGAGCTGCCTCCTGCCTGGCACTGCTACCACACCTTCATCCCTGGTAGGGGCTTGCATTCTTATGCTCGGTCAAGGAGAACATGAATTGTCGACCACAATGAACTGGGTTTCAGGGAAGGAGCCTCCAAGGTCCCAGGTGCCCAGGAGCCAAAGAGATGGCTCTCCAGGCAGCATGGTATTCCTGAGGCCTTCTTGGAGGAGCTGGGTGGCGGCCAGGTGAGCAGCCAGACCCTCACATGCTGTGTGCCTGTGCTGCTCAGTACTGGCCGTTGTGGCCGGGGCCAAGACTCGTGACTCAATTCGAGGGCAAGAAGGGGAGTGAGCTGATGGCTCCAAGGTAGACCAGGACCCAGGCCAGAGAGATGGGGCCAGGAGCCCTGTCATATTAGGAACCATGAAAGCAGCTGATTGAGACTTCACATTTTTTCCCTGCCTTCTTGACTTAGCCCATGAAGAAGGGACAGTGAAGGGGACACTCAGACCCCTCTCCCTGCTCTGCCTCCTGGAGATCGTTGCAAAATTCCCAACACCTCGTGGCAAATGCCCAAAAGCAGTTCCGCGCCCAGGCGGGGGCAGCTGTTAATGAGAACCTTACTGCAGCTGTGGCCAGGGCGGGAGCGGGCCAGGGAGCTGGGTGCCAGGCTATGGCTCCAGCCGGTTTCTCTCTGGCGCCTTCTGAACCCGTCTCGGCAGGTCCACAACACCTGGGCAGAGAGGTCAGAGACCAGGGGAGGCCAGGCCTCGCCCTCTGCATTCTGCCCAATACCCAGTGTTCTCAGTGGCATGCCCTTCAAGGGGAACAAGGGAGCTTGGGGTCCTTAGGACAGGATGCCCTTGACTCCAGGCCCTAAGGCCTGGTGGGGAGGGGCCGAGGCTCAGACAGCCAGTTCTGGTGGTGTTCTCCCTGCATGCCCTCCATGGCAGGGGCTGCTACCCCACCCGGCCCGAATCTGTCTCGACCTGCAAGAACACACGGGCAGCGCCAGGCATTACCTCACAGCGCGACTGCAGTTGCTGGCTTCGCTCCTGGGCAAGGAGGAGCAGGCCAGAGCCCCTTTCGCTTCCTTTTCCTGCCCATGCGGCTTCTAGAAGCCAGGCACAGGTTGCCAAGAGGTGACATGAAAGAGGAGGAAACTCGATGACCTCTGCCTCTCCCGCATTCCTCCCAGCGGGGGAGGACTCAGCTGCTGCTCTGAAGAACACCCTGTGGGTGCACACACATGGGTGTTGGTCTGGACAGGGAGCAGATCTCAGTGGGAGAATTGAGTCTGGACTCTTAGATTCCGACAATGTTTGAGGGTCTAGAAATGACAGACCTTCCCCTCTCCTCAGTGCACTTGATGTTTGCACAGCATCTTCCCCGGACAGCACAGCAATAAATGGTGTGATTGTGTGGACACGATGGCTCTGTTCTCCATGCGCTGCGTGCTTCTGCCCAGGGCTCCACTGCTAATTTAGGCCCATCTTCCTCCCCAAGGAAGACAAACTAAATTCTTTTTCCAGCACTGGAGGGGGGTGGTGGTAAACAGGCTCTGGCAATGCAAATCTGATGTTCCTCAGCGCCTGCCAGGAACCAGACTCTTGGCCAAGCAACACTGTTTCTGCTCGGCTTACCCACAGCTGAGCGCCTGCTAGCCTCAAAGACACCAGGAGGGGACGGACCATGTGGTATCATCTCTGTGCATGTCTCTTTTTTTGTGTTTACGTTGCATGTCGTATGACTTGACTTGTAAACAGTGGGACTAATACTGAACACAATTTGTCCTTGGATGTGTGTGGAGGGCCTCACCAAGGAGGGAGTCACCAAGAGGACGCTGGGGCAGGGCAAGCTATGAACTTGGAGGAGAAAGGGCCAGCCAGGCTCTCAACTTGCACTTGTTGGAATCACTAGGTGGCTTTTAAAAATATCAATGCCCACAGCCCCCCGGCCAAAAACTGTAAAATATCAAAATGCCCAGGCTCCCACCACCAGTTAAGTCTATCACAGGGGTAAACCCAAAGCCAATGCTGAAGCTCCCCAGGTGATCCTAATGTGCACCCAGGCTTGGAAACTACTAACGGGAACAAATTATCACTGCCTGTGTGAGTATGGACCAGTGGGTCCCTCAGATGCTGAGAAAAGTGAGCCAAAAAAAGGGTTTGCGTCCATCATTCAAAAATGTTTGTCCTTAAGAGGGGATGAGAACTCCTACCACCCTCTATAGGCCAACAAGACAAGGTGGCTGCCAAAAGAGGCAAGGAGGGGCCTGGGAAGGGGTCTTTGAGATTATCTGGTCCCCCAGGGCTAAAGTCTACCCTCAGAGAAGGGAAGCCCACACAAGCCTTTCCCTGCTCAGAATCAGAAATCTGTACCGTATGTGTGGTGATGCATAGTCTTATATTTTCTTCATTCATTTATTTTGGTTTTCCCTTAAGCTTTAGTGGTGTTATTTTATTAAAAAAAAAAAAAAGTTCTGCAACGATTCAGCTGAGCTAAGGGGAAATGAAAAGAAGATTTGGTCAAGCTTGGGTTGAGGCTGGAAAAAGGTGGAGGAGAAGGGGGTTCCGAGCCAGGGAGGCCCAGGGAGACAGGAATCAGGCCAGCATTCCCACCTCCCATCCCACCTGGAGCTCCCCTAAGGTCCCCACTGCTCCAGCCTTGCAGTGCTCAGAACTGTGTTTCCTTAGGGACAGTCACATCCTGCCCCACAGGCAAGATGGAGACAGCCCCAGCAGTGTCTGGGAAAGGCCTGGGTGGCTATTGGTGGCCATAAAGGAGCAGCAGCTCTCTGGGACAGCAGTTCCTCCTTGCTTCCTTCCTACAGAAACATTCAGGCAGGAAAGACAAGGTAAGCAACACCTGTTTACTCAGCAAGGTGCCCCTCTAGGTTCTAAGGGCCTGGTGAGATCAAGACCCAGGCCTTTGCCAAGGTGGACACAGAAAGTGATGAGCAAATGCCATCTGGGGTTTAGAGAACTCCCCATCCCCACACCCCCTAGGGAGAAGCCTCAGTGTGCCCTCAGGGCAATCAGGTTCTGTACTTTAGACTCCTTGCTCAGTTAAAGGCACAGTCCCTTGTGGTACAATGTAGGGGCCTGCTCCTGAAAGCCCAAGAAATGCCCCATGCCCAAGGCAACGAGATCCCTGATCGACAGCCTCCTGCCTCTGTCAGAGGGAGGCAAAGCCACACTGAAGGGAGCACAGCTACCCAGCTCCCAGCCCCTGCTGCCCCCTTCCTATCTGTTCAGTGGGACAACAGAGGATTCCTGAATCCGCTGTAGGAGCTGGCTTTGTAGGTCTTCCTCCATCACCTTCCACCAAGAGTAGTTCTCACCCTGAATCTTTGGAGGCTCATCCTGGACACCTGGATTCCGAAAAGCCACAGTCACCAGCATATTCAGACAAATACCATCTGTATGGTCTCTGCCCAGGTGCTGCAGTCCAAGTAACCCCTTGGTCTCCACCACCAAATTGTGCAGGGTCAGACACTCCTGCAGCAGCCTCAGGACAGCCATCTTGATGCCACCCCTCTGCTCCATGGGGGTGAGGCCAGAGACAGTGACAGGCAAGTGAGGCACGCCCACTGTGCTCACTAACACCCACACTGTCTGGATGCTAATAAAGGTGGCCACAAGCCGCTGGCAGACCACATTGCACGAAAGCTCTCGGGGCAGAATGAGAGGGTGACTGGCTTGCTGGCGGTACTGCACAGCTAGCTCAATCAGGTGAAGGATATCATGTGCCCGCAGTGGAGTGGGCAGGGAAGTCCGAGGGTACCAGGCAGCCTGCAGGGACTCCTCATCTGCCTCGCTGGAAGTCTTGAGAATTCCACCTAGGGGAGATTTAGGGGACAGGGTAGAGGAAGGGTCTGGTTGAAAGGGGGTCTGGCAGAGTAAACAGATACCCCTGACCCAGCAGGAGGCCCCAGGACCCCAGCTGATGCCAGACTGGATTCGGAGGAGTTGTCTTACTGGAGGATGAGCTGGTGGGGGGGAAGGTGTCAACTGGCCTGTGCTCACACTGCCACCAGGTGGGCTGTACCTGTGTGGTGAGCGAGGAACACGAAGCGGATCCAGGAGAGGCCCCGCTCTTCCACAGACAGCAGTGTCACAGGCTCACAGTGCAGCCCAGCCTCCTCCTTCACCTCCCGCTGCAGCGCCTCCACAATGGTCTCCCCAGGCTCCATTCTCCCCGCTGGCAGGTACCATGATCCCCGGCACTCTCTCTTGGCCTCCTGGATCAGTAGCACCTCATCCTGAGGGGACAGAGAGGATCTTCACCCTCTACCTTAGCAGTCTGGGAGCTCAACTAGCAAACTTCTTTCCCTTGCCCTGGGGCCTGGTTGTCCAAGACTTCCTTCCTGGTGGACACCCTCTCAATGGCTACCCAGGAGACCTGCCCCTGCCACTGTGGCTGGGGGCTGCAGTCATGTTCTAGGTCTGCAATTCATCCCTCTCCGGATTCAGGACTTTCACTTCAGAAAGGAGCTGAGAGTCCTGGAAGCTGCTTCATCGGCTGGAGATTAGGCACCACAGTGAGGGTCACCATGTGTCCTGCACAGTTGTGTTTGCATGTGTCACTGTGTATCTCTCACCACCCAAATGGTTCATATAACGTTTGCAGCGGGTCCTCACACGGAAGTTTGGGCTTTGAAACCTGTCCGCACTCTATACAACCCAGCCCTAGCGCCCTGGCCCTTTGTAGCTGTTACTATATCGACTGTACAGGGATAGACATCAAAGGCCTGAGTGTAAGCCCGGGTTGTGCCATTGGCACCCATAGGGCTTTGCACGGAAATTCATGAGCGCCCACTCCGCATTAGGCCCTCTCCTACATTCTGGGAAAGGAAGAGGAATACGACAGCCGTCTTCTCAAGGAATGAGGGCTTCAGTATCCTCTTCTGTGCATGGGAACACTCGCAAGGCACAGATGCAAGTGTAAGCGAGAGTGCTTTGCAAAACTGAGTGGCTGTGGTCTTTAGGTCTTCTGTCCCCTCCTGGGCTGGCTGCGCGCTCCCGAGCCCCAGGCGGGCCTGGCGGGCGGACGCTCACCTGCTCGTTGAGGAACACGGCCAGCACCACGTAGCTGACGTTCTTCCGCAGCCGCACCGGCGCCGGAGGCTTCCCGGCCGGTTCCGAGTCATAGCCCTGCACGATCAGCCCCTGGCCCCCCAGCACTGCCGCCAGCGCCCCCGCCAGGCCCTCCGAGGTCATCGGGTCGCCTGAGAGGCGGCGGCAAGGCCCTCACAGACCGGCAGAGCCGGGCGGGGCGGGCCACCCGCGAGCGTGGGGTCCGGCGCCCTAGCCCACACCCTGCGGCTGCGGACCAGCGCCCTCGCCAACGCGGAAGCGCCTGGAGAGCCCCAGACGCTGATAGGCTGTGCTTCACCGCGGCCCGCTCTGATTGGACCGCATCGCCGCCGAGGGGGCGTGGCCATACGGCCGAAGGCTGGGCGCCCGCGCCGCTTGCGCCCCTGAGTCTGTCCGCTCTCTTTTTCGCTCTCCGGGCGCCTCCCGGCTGCCGGCCTCGCTCTGGCCCCCAGTGCGCACTTGTCAGCTCCAGTTCCGAGGTGACGTCATTCTGCCTGAAGGATGCGTTGCGCCGTGGTGGCAGCGGCGGTGACGTCACGAGCCTGATAGCGTTATGGGTCCCCGGACACCGTGGCTTGGACCCACTGTCCCGCCTTTGTCATAAACCTTTGTCATAAACATTCTTTTTTTTTTTTTTTTTGAAACAGAGCCTCAGGCTCTCACCCTGGGTAGCGTGCCGTAGCATCATAGCTCACAGCAACCTCCAACTCCTGGGCTCAAGCGAGTCTCCTACCTCCACCTCCCAAGTAGCTGGGATTACAGGCGCCTTCCACAATGCCCAGCTATTTTTTGGTTGCAGCCGTCATTGTTGTTTGGCGGCCCCGGACTGGATTCAAACCCGCCAGCTCAGGTGTATGTGGCTGGCGCCTTAACCCTTCGCGCCACAGGCGCCGAGCCTGTCATAAACATTCTACTTTATTAACAGAGATGATCTGATCACTACCCAAATAACTTTCTTCTTACTTCACGAAAATGCACTAAATGTCACGTGGCTGGAGAGACAGAAACTCCTGCCTTGAAAAAGATGCTGCTTCAGTCAGAGAGAGGAACACCGACGTGTAATAAAGGCAGCTGAGCGTTGTTGGCTAAGTGCTAAATGATTGATTTGGGCAGGAAGAGTGACAGGTGCTCAGAGGAGGGAAGCAGCAGGTTTGAGGAGGGAGGGAGGATGTATCACCAGGGCTAGAATCAGCCAGGCCACCCTTGTTGCTGTCCCCCTGACCGCAGTTTCTAGGCCTTCTCTGCTACAGCGGGAGCCCTTGGAATGGCAGTCAGTGGTTCCTAGTTCCTTCGTCGTCACCCTCAGTCCCAGGGTACAGTGCCTAGCAGTGAACAGCACGGTGTGGGTTGTTTCGTCAAGCTCCTGCTTCTCTCCCAGCCTGACCTTTCCTTTTCAGAGCCTCCCTTAACCTCCTCTCAGGACAGGAAACAGAGCCAGCTGAAAGGAATCTGCCAAGCAAGCTGAGTCTGGTTCCCTCTTCCCCTCTGTTACTCTTGGACACCTCCCTTTTGGAGGGGACAGTGGCATAGTGATGTGGACAGAGAACAAAGACTTGCAGCCAGACATTAGGCAACTGCTGGCCAGCTTGCTCTGTACTTTTGGGTAAGTTGTGGGCCTCAGTCTTCTCATCTGTAGAGTGGGGCGATAAAACTTTTACAGGGCCGTCGAAAATACAAGACATTAAGACATTCAGGAAGGAGCTGCATGGACTGGCCCTCATTGGACACCACCACCAGGCAGTCCTCCACTCCCCCAGACTGGGCCCACTTGGTCACAACACTTGTTGCTACAACAGAAAGGCCGATTCTCATGAAATGTGCCCACAGAGCTGCCCAAGAACTAGACTTTACTCTCAGGAATTCCAGTGACACCAGATCAGCCTCTCTAAGTCCTTCTCACATTAGAATTCTGACTTTAAGTTCCCTGGAGGCAAGACCCTGTGTTAATCTGAGGGGAACCCCTGGAAGGCCTATAGGTTTTGAGGCACACTAGGCCAAGCTCTGTCCTGGACTGCTAGCCTCCCAGACCCCTGCATTCACAGGGCTGAGAGTCAGGACTCTGAGCTACAGAGCAGCCTGTCAACCTATTTGCTGTGCATGTTTATCCCTCAGTTTTCCCATCTGTGAAGTGGGGGCAGACTCCTTTCTGCCTCCTGGGGATGATTTGAGAGAGAATGAGGTCATGTCTGGGCAGAGTTCTGACAGCTTCAGAGGTGCCTAACGTAAACACCAGAGACTGAATTGCCTGGAAGAGCTAAGACTTCAGCAAACCACCACTCCACACCCCATCCTCCCTGAGGGAAAGCTCTCCTTTCCTATCAAGTGAGCCAATTACCCTGTGGTGAGCAGTGCATGAGGTGACAGAACATGCCAAAAGCCCCTTGTAAACTGTGAAGGGGTGTGCCTAAACTTTCCTGGGGTGCAGAGGAGACAGCAAAGAAGCAAACTCTCTCAAAGTCTCAGGAAAAAGAGAACAGTAGTCAGACTGGGGCAGGAGAGGCCCTGAGACAGAGGGAGAGAAGCCATGGGAGGGAGACTGGCAGGATAGGAACCACCAAGGTCTCCATCACATCTGCTGTGTGCCCTCCATTCCCAGAGAGGAAAGAACACAGCCAGAGTGCCTGGCCGCACAGCGCAGTGGATGATGGGAGTGAACTGACTGCTCCCAGCACCCATGGGAGTGGAGCCTGAGCCAAACATTTCGGGGCATGTGTGAGCACATGTGCGTGTGAGCATGTGAGCAGGAAGGCCTAGGCTAGGCAGCCTTAGGGACCCAGATTAGGATAGGACAGGATGGGCAGGCAGGGTGTCTGTGGTACTAGAGTTGTTTAAGGAGCAGCAAGGCCAGTCTCTGGACAAAGCAGGAAAGGTGAGAAGAGGTAGGGCTAGCTTTAGGCTGGCCTGTGCCACTCACTCTCACTGACCCTGGGGCAGCCATATGTACCCTCTAGGCCAGGTATCCAACATAGGCATTGTTGGATTCTGGAACAGAAAAGGACGTTAATAGAGCTGATGAAATCCCAGAGAAGCCTATTACTTTGGTAATACTGTTATATCTATGTTGATTTTGTGGTTTTGATAAAGACAACATGGTTACTAAGGTGTTCACATTAGGGGAAGCTGGGTGAGAGATAATTGGGAACTCTCTGTGCTATCTTTGGGACTTGGCTATAGATCTAAAATTATTTCAAAATTTAAATGTCTGAGCATTTTCATAGAAAAAAGGAAACCATTGAATATGCACACCCCATGCTCATTTCTACCTCTGGGAGTTGTGTGTCTGGGATATTCAGGCCAGATGGAGGGACTGGAGGCACTGGAGGCCGAAGGTGGCTAATAAGCTGGTGACCCTGGGAGAAGCTGGGCCCAAGGGCCTTCAGGAGAACAGTGCCACCACATGCCCCAAGCTGAATCTCAGGCTTGGCTGCATTCCTCCACCTGGCCAGGCTGCATTCCCAGGCCCAGTCCTGGAACACTTGAACATTGGTCCACTTGCTATTTATAGTCAGACCCGACATCCCCTCAAGGGTTCTCTGACCCACCTGGAAGGGGGGGCGAGGGAAGAGGAGACCCAGTGACTGGACCATCCCAGAACACCATTTTCCCACCTGAAGGACTCCGTATTTTGGGTACAGGGGTGACAAGGAGACACAGCTATAGAAGGTGAAATATAGGTAAAAATGGGTCACTCAGTGCCCCTTGGAACATGATCAGCTATAAAGTGCATACTTTGCAAGGAAGAGGACAGAGCAGAGGGCAAGCTATCTTTAAACTCCATTAAGAACTAAGACGATGATGTAAATGAGGTGGCTTGAGTCAGAAAACTTGGTTCAAATCCCAGTTCTGCCACTAAAATCACTGTGAGACCTTGGGTAACTTCCTTAACCCATCTTCCTGTTTCTTCTTCTGTAAAATGGAAATAAATTATGTCTACCTCAAAATAGTGGTAAGGAATTAAATGCGATAATTTACATGAAGGGGATTAAATGAGATATGTTACATGAAAACAGTAGCAGAGTAAAACACACGAGTTCTCTAAATTATTTTTTTTCTTTTGTAAGCCTGTAAAAAAGTCAAATAACTGAGCTGTCCAAGCAGTGAAGAAATTCTAAATTTTTTTTTCAACAAGAGGTGGTTATGTAAATCATGGGTTACAGGCAGCCATGTAGAATGAGGGTGAGGTGGCAGCACAGTGTCATAAGAAACCAAAGCCAAAGCATATCAGAGCACCACAGATCCTAGAAGGTACTAGAAGGAAATAGACTAAGATACTCATAGTGTAGGGGTGAGTAGAGGGAGGCTTGTAGGTGACTTTCTAATTTTCTAAATGTTCTGAAAGTATTTTATATTTATAATAAAAATGTTTATTTTATAAAAAAAATTCCCCAAACCGCAGCAGAAACAGGAATGACAAGAGTTGGAGCATTTTTGGTGTGCGCCTGGGATACACAAGGGAAGGGTAGAGGGCAGACCCCCACCTGAGGGCTGGGGGCGTTGCACGGACAGGACAGATGGGCTGTCCGGGGCACTGAGGCTCATCCTGGGGCAGCCAGGCTGTGTATTCCTGGATGTCCAGGTGGTCGAGGCAGACAGAGAACTAGGGTAATCTGGCGTTTTTGGTAAGGGTGGGCTCAGGAATCTCTGCAGGCCACTTCACCATTGTGCCCCAGGACTCTGCAGTGCCCACCTGCTGTCGCAGTCAGCAGCATCTGTTCCTCAGTGGGAGGCAGAGCCCCAGGTGCCAGGAGAAGAGAAGGCAGTGGTGTCTGAGGTCCCTGCCATCCTGGCCCCAGCCCACCCCACTCTATTTGCCTCTGCTCCAGAGCAGATTTCTGTGTCTCCCCTCCCTCCCTGGACCATGTGGCCTGCAGGAGCAGGGCCAACCACACTGGCAGCCATCACAAAACAACAGACTTTAATGGAAATCATGAAGGAGTGGGGCGGGCAAAGGGAGCAGGGCAGGGTGGCATCACCCACGCCTTTCCCTGCTACCAAGCCTGGGCAGTCCCTGATGCTGTCCCCTCTCCACACTTCCCAGCTCTTCTGGCAGGAGGACAGAATTTCAGCGGCCCCTTGTCCAGCATGTCTACAGTGAGCCCAATGATGATGCAGTAGCATAAGCAGAGCCAGGACATGGGTGGATGGCAGAGGTAAGGTGGCATGAGGAGGTGCTGCTTAAGCCAGAATGATTCCCGAGGTCCCCCAAGGAAGGGCTGCTTGTCTCCTGGGCAGGGTGCAGGGTTGGAAGTAGTCAATCACCCCCAATGTGGGCTTGGTACCATGAAAAGGGACACAGGGGTGGGGCAGGAGCCAGCCTGTGAAGGGCAGGTGTGAGCTTCTGTGGCACTGTGGTTATTGGTTTTAGGGTCCAGGGGCAGGGGTGGGGAATGGAGCACTCCACTTGTGCCCAGAGTGGTAATTATGGGATTGACCAAAAGCCCCCAAGTCCCCCACATCCTTCCCTGTTGCCACTGCATCTGCACCTCATTATGCACCTGGTCTACCTGCCCTGACCCCCTACCCCAGACAATAGGAACTCCCCTATTTGGCCTCCTGTAATGTCCCCACAGCCACCTTCACTGCTTGGAACACAGCCCAGTCCATCTAGGAAAAAGAGAGAAGACAAAGAATTGTCAATCACATTCCCAGGCCCCCCAGGCTCTGCACCCTGCTCAAGAACACCCTTCCCCTGAGCAGAGCTGGATCTGACATGTCCACTGCAGCTGGGCCACAGAGGGATTGGGCAGCACACCCAACCCACTAGCCAGCATCACACTCACCTGGGCATAAAGTAGGTGGCAGTCAGGGGTCAGGCTGGGTCCCTGGTGGCAGAGCTGAGCAGAGAGGGCAGAAGTCTCAGGGGATAGGAAGTGCTGAGTGACGTTGACTGTGCTTACCAGGCCCTGTACCTGAGTCAGGGAGGACACAGGCAGGAAGATCAGTGGAGGCCCAAGATGGTGCATTCTTTCCTGTGCCACTGACTGGTCCCCAAGGCCTAGCTCCGCTAATGACTCCACCTAGCTCTCAGAGAGCAGAAGCCAGCAGACACTCCAAAGGCCCCTGCCTTAACCAGGCCAGAGGGCTTCCAGAGACACAAAGCCTCTCCATGTTAGTGTGCTGAGAAGGCCAGGACCAGCCTCTGGAATGAGTCCCAGTCAGGCAGTTTTGATGACTTCAAGACCACTCAGCCTCCCCATTTCCTGCCCTGCCTAGCCCTCAGGCATCGAGAAGATATTGTACACAGGTGGTATCGCACTGTTCCTCTCTCACCCCCTTATCTCCGCACAGCCCCCACCCACCAGGAAGCACCTGGTGTGGAGCCCCCGCGGGCACTAGCACGGCCTCCCCGGGTCCCTGCAGCAGTGTCCAGCAGCTCACGCCCCACTCCTCACGCAGGCGCCGCCGCAGCCCTGCATCCAGGTAGCAGCTGCCTGGGGCCCCGGGCTCCAGAGTGCCCGCCCCAGATGGGCACACCTCAAAGAAGAGAAGAGGGAATGAGTGAGGCAAGAAGGGAAGGGCATGGCTGTAGGAGGCTTCCAGCTTAGAAAAGAGCTCAATGGCCAAGTGAGGGGCATGTGGGGAGGACATGGGCTGGGTGGTGTAGGGCTAGGGCAGCTCAGGTTCGCAGAACAATCCCTGGGCTGGAAGCAGCTTAGAGGACAGGATTAAGAGCTCTAAAGCTGAGGGCCAAAGTCTCTGCTTTTCCCAGGGCTGGATGCCTTTAGTAGCCTCCATGGTCATGGCCCTGGCTGCCCTCTGCTCCCCCTCACTGGTACCCCATTCTGCAAAATCCAAGGAGATGACCTTCATAATCCCAATACATGAACTATCTACACCAGGAGCTCTTAACCTGGAGTCTTATGAATTGCCTGAATTGTGTGCTAAGTTGTGGGTGAGTAGGTAGCTAGATGGCCCTGGGGACACAAAGCTGCTGAACCCAAAGCATTCAGCAGATTCCTATAAGATCCCGGATCCAGAAAGTCAAGGCCACACAGAAGTTCTGCCTCCTAGGGGCTGGAGAGGCAGCCTGTCCAGGCCAAGGCCTCTGCATCTGACACAGCCATGAGGGCCTCTACTAGCCCAGCCAGGGGAGGGAGCCCATCGGGCAGGCAGGGGCTCATGGAGGCCAGAGGAGAGGTGCTTGAAGCATCTGCAGAGCTGAGCGCCAGCATCTCAAACGGGCTGCCAGCTCCATCCACCCCACTTCAGGGAGAACCTTAGCCATTGTCCCTGGGCTATGAGGGGAGGGGAAGGCCAGGAAGCAGACTAGACCCTAGGGGAGTCCCAGGCGTATGCCAAGACTTCTTTGCCCCTGGTGTCTGAGGTCCATCCTGGAGCTCAGCAGCTTTTCCCAGGCCACCCAGTGAGACTGTCCCCTTCAGCCCCTCCCCATGAATCATCGGGTTGGAACTGCCCATAGCTAGCCACACCCAGCCGAGACCGGGCCATCTGAGTATGAAGGTGTGTTGCTGTCTGCATGTCCTTGCGTCTGTGTGCACATCTATACATGTGTGTGTCTGTGGGCAGGAGGGTGGTAGATGCACATTGCCCTCTGCATGTCTGCGTCTGTGCCTTAGCAAGGGGCGACACTTGGTGGGTATCTTTTTCCCAGGACAGTCAGTGCTCAGTTTGACTTAAGAACCACCAGGCCCTAACCTCACACCTGGCCTCCCACTGCCCTGCCCCTCAGGAGCCTCCTGCCCCCCACCCAGCCCCAGTCCCTCTCACGGCCCAGCTCCTCTTCCTCCTACCATGCCACTGCCCTTAGCCTTCTCACTTGTCTGCACATCCAGCAGCACCTCCTTTGGGAAGCCTCCCCTGAGGAGGCACAGATACCAAAAGGAGAGCAACAGGACGGTGTCTCAGAAAGGCACCCCTTGCCTCCGCCCAGCCCCCATCCAGAGCTCAGGGAGAGGAGGCCACCTCCCCCCTATGGGGAGCACAGTGTATTGAGTTGGGGCTGTGATAGACATAAGCGCCCATCCCAAAGGTACCACTGAGTCATGGTTTTCCCACCAGCAAATTGGAACAGTGGCAGTAGCTGCCTCGGTGGGGACAGTTAACTAGGCTAATTCGCCCAAGGCCCAAGGCCCTGTGCCCAGCCCACAGCTGCCGCTTCTCCCACTTTAGCCTGAGGTCCAGACCTCCTGCCTCAGGCTCCTGTGCTTTCTCTGGGCCCCACCTGCTTCCTCTGACCCGTCTGTGAGAGTCAGGACCATCCAGCTCACCTGAGGGAGTGGGGCGGGGAGCGGGCACTCAGGGAGCACACATTCAGGTGGGCAGACGGGATGAGCTCCTGGGGTTGGGTAGGGGCAAGGGGAGGGCCCCCGGCTCCTTCCTCACCATCTGGAGAAAGCGGCGGATTCGCTGGGCGTCCTGTGCCCGGAACACGTGCCACACGGTGCTGACCTGACTGCCTGGAGAGCAGAGCCCCTCCCCGTCCAGGCCTGAAAGGAAGTCTGAGGGAGACCAAGTGCTCAGGCGGGCCCAGGGCTGCGAAGCAGACCGCGCCCCTGCAGCCTGCCCACTCCCTGGGGCCTGTCTCCAGCAGAAGACTCACCTTTCTGTGCCCGGTGCCAGGCAGGTTGTGGTGCCTCGGCATGCACCAGGATGCTGACCAGGTCAGTCACCTCCACACAGAGGTTCTTGGTCCCCAGGTGTCCACGGTGTGGGCTCACACCTGTGTGGAGGTAGAGAAAGGACCTTTGGGAACAGAGTCAGAGAAATGCTTCTGCTCCATGGCCTTGGCACAGACATGTGTGCCCTTGACGACAGACACGGGAACGAGGAGCGGGCAGACAGGGAGGGGACACTCACCATAGGCTGCCCAGAGTTGGGGCCCCAGTGGATGCAGGGCAGGGCCCGGTGGGAGGTAGGAAGCCAGGTTGAGTTTCCCATGTTGGGCACAGTACTCTGGGAGTGGCAGGCTGGCCGCCAGATTCTCCACCCTGTGGGGGGACAGGGTCATGCCCAGCAGGCCCAAGCCAGACACAGAGATCCCATCACAGCCCCCAATGCTAAGGTAACTCCCAGAAGGCAAGCTGGGCTCTCTGAGGGTCAGAGGGTGGGTGTAGGGAAAAAGAGGATGGGAGGGCTGGCCCTTGGTATCACACACACCTGCTGGTGTCCTTGTCCCCCAGAGCTCGGTGCAGCAGGAGGACAGAACCCTCGTCTGACTTTGGGCGAACTGGGGGAGACACAGAATGGTCCTTGGCCAGAGGCCCCTGCCCCAGTGGTAGCGGTACATAAGTCCAGTGTTCACCCTGGGTCTGCTCCCACACCCAGCTCACTCTGGGACTCCTGTGCCACCTAGACCCTGGGGCTCAGGCTCCCAGCTCCCTCCATCAGGCAGGGATACTTACTCTCAGGCTGGGAGAAGCCCTCCCAGAATGTCTTGCTGCCCAGGCTTGTGGGCTTGGGAGGCCCCAGGGGTGTGAGCGCCTGCACCTGGCCTCCAAGCGCGCCAAGAGCTTCCGCCCCCCATAGGCTGCCTCTCAATGCCCTCTGGATCCCTGACACCAACACGGGCTGTAGTGGGAGAGGAAGGAGGACACGAGGAGAATGAATGGGGTACCAGCGTGGGCAGGATGGGCATATATCGAGGGCACCAGGTCACCATGGGGACCTGGTCCTGAAGATAGGTAAGGCCCTAGGTCAGGGTAGGGGGGCAGGAAGCCTCACCTGGCCCTGTCTCCAGTGTTCCTGGAAGAGGTAGAAGCCTTGCCGAGGCCTGGGCTCCTGCAGCCACAGCAGAGCCCCCGGGGATGGCAGCCGGGGCCGCACAGGGGGGAGGGGCAGGCCTAAGCCCCTGCGCAGGCCTGGGCCAGCCCGCAGTCCCGGCCCCAGGGCTTTCTCCTGGATCTTCCGCTCTACCACCTGTGCGATGATGCTGTCCAAGATGTTGGTGATGCGGTCGTCCTGTGGGAGGATCCCAGAGGGGCAGGAGGGCTCAGGACCCATCTGGCCCCATGGGGAAGGCCAGCCCCAATCTCTGGCCTGTGGGTCCCCAGGACCCGGGGCTCCCAGCCCTCCCTCCATGCCCTTTCTCACACTAGGCAGGGCTGGGGTGACAGGGGCAAAGGCCATGTGTATCCGCTCATGGCCCAGGCATAGTTTGACTGCAGTAGAGGCCAGCAGTTCACAGAGAGAGGGACAAGGCAGGGACCTTCGGCCAGCACGGTCCTCTGCTGGGGTCTCCGTGGAGTCTGGGGTCTCTGTTGGGGAGGGAAATGGTGCGGGGCTTCACATTTAGCCCTCCCCCTTCTCTCATTGCCCATGACATGCTTCCCTCAAGTCCTGGCCAGGCTGTCTATCTTTCTACCAGCACCCCCACCTTGACTCCACCTGTATCTCCCACCCCCTACCTCTTCTGAAGGAAGCTCCAGAGCCTCTAAAAAGAGGGGGCTCAGAAGGGGTGCTTGGCCAGAGAGGGGTTGGGAGCTTATCTCAAGGGATGGAAATTACTGTTGGGAGGGTGCAGGGTTTGCTAAAGTAACTCCAAATCATCCCTGGACCCTTCCACTGCCCGTTCCCCTCCAGCCTTAAACTCTGGCCCGGCATCCCTCTTACACAGTCCCAGGGGCAGGAGGACCAGCTCACCCTCTTTGATGTCCTTTGTCCTGTTGGTGTCCCCATTACAGGAAGGTTGTGGAGTTGGGGGTGTTTTCTCTGAGGGCTCCTTCTGTTAAATGCAACCCCCCCCCAATTCAACCAGAGATTTAAAAACTGGCAGACACAACCCAACCCACTATAACTAATAATGGACTCTTGCAAGTACTAAAATTCTATTTCCAAGAGCAAAATGTTATAGGCTATAGATTTAGGTGGGATAAGTTGCTCATGAACTTCTACATACAGTGTGCCAAAATAGACATGAATACAAATGACTGGACAGAAATATGTCAAAATGCTAATTGCTAGCGTTAGAGGCCACTGTCATCATCTTCATTATACTCATCTATATTGTCCAAATTTTCCACAAGGGATATGTAGCACAGTGTCTGGCACATAGATGATTTTTTATAATGAAAAGATGAACTCATAAAAGCTTTGCAAAATGCTTATTGAGTGCCTACTATGTCTCAGGAGCCAGAAACACTGAGAAGGTGGTTCAGTGCTTCTCCTGAAGGAGCCCATGGCCTGGGGACACAGCCATACCAACAAGCATGGCTTGCACGTTGTGGCAGGGAGTGAGGACTTCTGGTAGGTGGAGCAAGGTGGGCTAGATGCTTGAGCTGGCTATGCGGCTCCTAATTCCCAGGGGAAGGTGGTAAGTGGTCTGATTCCAGCAGCTTCCATCTCCCGCTTCACCCCATCAAAAGAAAGGGCCAAACCCTGACAAAGGTCAGTCATTTACAGGCACATTGTCTTATCCTAGGGCCTACCAGTAACCCTCTGTCACCTATGCCAGGGCCAGGTTCTTACCTGCTGGCCCCCATCCCCAGGGGCCCACACCCGGGCATCAGCTTGGCATGGACAATGCCCTCGGATGTCAAACTTGACCCAGACCTGGTGCATTGCAGCGCTCAGTTCCGCCAAAGCTGGGCAGGGGGTGGAGAGAAGAGATGGAATTTGGTGGTAAGCGTAGATCAGCAGGCAGCCCCTGGGCAATGTGACCCCACAAAGCAGAAGGGCATAGCATCAGGGGGAGGGAAGGCCAGACAGAAAGCTGGTCTCCCTCAGGACCCACCCTCTGCACACCCCACCCCTCCAAGATGCCTCACCCTGGCTGGAGACAAACTGGGTCAGCATCAGGGAACAGGCAGGGTGCCCAGCCTCCTGGGCACACTCCTCTGTAGACTGCTCCTGTGAGCCTGTGGATAGGAAGGGAGAAGCTGCAGAGCCAGACATCAAGGTAACTATAGTCAAGGTCAGGGAAGAAGGGCAAGGAGATCTAAAGCAGGGGCCCCAGTAACCCATAAAACATGTGTTTTCTGGGAAACTTGGGTTACACAGTGACACAGGAGTCTTTGCTTACAGAACACAAAGACCTTAATACACTGAAATGTTTTGCAAGACTCCAGGTAAATATATAAAAGAGAATTTTCCAAAGTGCATCTGACCCTGCAACCCTTTTTGGCCATGTCCTTTGGAACACCAGGAAATTCCAAGCCCTCAGGTAGCCAAGTTAAGCCAAGGGAAAGAAAGGTGAGCAAGATGAAAAGAACAGGACAGACTCAGAAGACCTGAATCTAAATCCTGATTGCAACACTTAGGAGCTGTGTGATCTTGGATAAGTCGCTCAACCTCTCTGAGAAGTTGTTATCTGGAAAATGGAGGCAATATACCCACTTCACAGTGTTATAATAGGTTTAAGAAGGTGCGATCTGAGCAAAGTGGGCATCATAGAGTGGGCACCTGACTTTGTTCAAGGGTGGGCAAGGAGGCAGGGTGCCCCTCTGATCTGGGAAGAGGGGAAGCCTGTTCTGATTGGCTTTGGGCAACGGTGGCTGAGGCTAGGGTTAGGCAGCAGATGGCAGGGACTCTTTGGAGAGAGACAGTCAAGAAATTTCCAGAGCCTCAGAGAAGTCCTACTGAGACCCTACCCTCCCACCTCCACCCCTGGTCTTCTCCTACCTGCTTTCTCCCTGGCCCTTCCAGCACCTGCCATGCGGCCACAGGCCACACAGAGCCGATGGCTGCACCGGGGGCATTGCCAGTGGGTGTTGAAAAGTCCATGATGGCAACGGCTACAGCAGCGTGGAATGCCTGGGGTGTCCTCTGTCACGGCTGGCCCCTGGCCTGTTGACCACAGGAGAGAACAAGGTCATAGGGCTGAAGGCGACAGGCCCCTCTGGAGGACCTTATGTGGTAAGTCTCCATGCAGGGGTGGCGAGAAGCAGGGAGCAGTTTCTGTGCAGGGGCTCCCAGGGAAGGGAGACAGGCCCCTTTACGGTTACCTTACTTTCTCTGCAGGCCTGTCAAAACCCTGCAGAAACTGTCCTCTCCAGCAAATCCTTCCCAGGGATAGTGGAGGCCTCTCCTCCCCTGGTTCCTACATCATGCCTAGCCCTGCCCCCAGGGACTTCCCCACTGGCCCTGAATCACTAACCCACACTATTTCCAGCACATTCTGTCCTTCCCTCCCAATACTACATACTACTAGAAACACCATCAAATGGTGATCACACTCAGGTGGGACTATCTCCCTCCAGGGGATTTTGTATATTAGAAACCTTAAGGAGATGCTCCTGCCCTTACTCAAAGGAATGTTTTTTTGTTTGTTTGTTTTTTGAGACAGTCTCACTTGTCGCCCTCAATAGAGTGCTATGGCGTCACAGCTCACTGCAACCTCCAGCTCTTGGGCTCAGGCAATTTTCTTGCCTCAGCCTCCAGAGTAGCTGGGACTACAGGCACCCACCACAACACTCAGCTATTTTATTGTTGCAGTTTGGCCAGGGTCAGGTTCAAACCCGCCACCTTCAGTACATGGGGCCGGCACCCTACTCACTGAGCCACAGGTGCCACCCAAGGAATGGGTTTTTATTTGTTTTTTGTTTTTTGTTTTTTGAGACAGAGTCTCACTATGTGGCGTCACGGCTCACAGCAACCTCAAATTCTTGGACCCAAGTGATTCTCCTGCCTCAGCCTCCCAAGTAGCTGGGACTACAATGCCCAGCTATTTGTTGTTGTTGTTACAGTTGTCATTGTTGTTTAGCAGGCTCCAGGCCGGGTTCAAACCTGCCTGCCTAGGTAAACATGGCCAGCGTCCTACTCAATGAGCTACAGGTGCAGAGCTGGGATTTTTTTTTTAAGAGAGGAAGTCTCTCTCTGTTACGCAGGCTGGAGTTTAGTGGCGTGATCATAGCTCACTATAACCTCAAGCTCCCAAGCTCAAGAGATCCTTCTGCCTCAGCCTCCTGAGTAGCTAGGGCCACAGGTGTTCACCACCATACATACCCAGCTAGTTAAAAATTACTTTTTAGTAGAGATGTGAGTCTTGCTATATTGCCCATGCTGGTCTTAAACTCCTGGCCTCAAGCGTGAGCCTTACAGGCATGAGCACCATACCTGGCCAAGAGTGGTTATTTTCAGAGAAAAATTTCAGACTAGGCCATCGTCATGTCCCGCTTTGGGTGCGGGGGACTCAGCCAGTCAGGACTTGGCCCTTGCCTCCTTACACTCTAAGTGGGGGCAGACAGACTCATAAACACGTCAGTGACTATGGGACCTTGGGCAAGTGCTAGAATCTAAAAATGGGACAAAAGGATGAGGATAGGAGGGGGAGCTTCTCAAGCCAGCCCGAAAGGATGAGTAAGTGCTCATTCACCAGGTAGAGAGGGAGGAGCACGGTATTCCAGACCCAGGGAAAGCCAGTGCCAAGGCCCAAGGGGATGGCTGAGCTCAAGGGAGCCGGGAAGGGAAGGACGGGTGGTGTGTGCCGGGAACCCAGACAGGAAGTTGGCTGACAAATGCCAAGGAGGCCAACCCTTCTGGGGCAAGAGGGAGCCCCCAGTGAGCTCCACCCAGGGAGTGACGGGTGGTGTGGAAGGGCAGCTGGAGGGGGAGCCTGGAGCCAAGCCAAGCAGCCCAGTGGCCACACTTCTCTCCCATCAGCCCAGGTCCCACTGGGCTTCCCTGACCCTGAACCCCTTAAGAGCTCCCCTTCCCCTCCCTCCCAATACTCTCGGCACTCAGTCTTCTTTGCCCAACAAACCCCCCAATCCCAGAGAACTGGGCTGGGCTGGACTAGGTTTGATGACACCTTCCCAACATCTCCCACTCAGGCCAGAAACTTTGACATTGGCCAAGAGCCTAAGACAGAAATAAGGGCAAAGTAGGGCAGGAGCTCTTCTGAAGCTGCGGCAGCCACAGGCACTGGCAATGTAGGTGGGAGTGGGGGCAGGACACCTGGGGGTCCCATGTGGTGCAGACCCCACATGGGCCCAGGGGATCCAGCTCACCTTCCCGCTGTGCCCAGGCCAGGGCCTCCCGCTCCCTCCGCAGCAGGCGGCACAGTCGGTCTCCCAAACCACTGAGCAGGTGCTTGGCAAGGCCTGTACTAAGGGGGGCCTCCATGCCGGACCCCTGACCCTCCTCGGAGCTGGTGCTGCCTGCCGCATCCTCCTTCTGCTGCTGCTCCCCTCCCAAAGGCAATCTAGAGAGAAGGCAAAGAACGGTGAGGACAGAGCCCCCAGGGGAGGATGCTGGGGGCAGCCAAGGCAACAGGCTCACCTCTGTACTTGCTGGGAGTGGCAGGCCAGCCCTCCCCTATCTCCAGTTGCCTGGGCACAGCTTTGGCATTGAGCGAGGCCCACCAGAAAGGCAGAGCAGGGTATGTCCTGAAGTCCTGGATCCTGGAGGCTGGCTGGGCCTTCTTGGCATCCTGAGGGGACAATGAAGATGGTCAGGGATCTGAGTTTCCTGGGATTTTGCAAACTCCAGACCCTCCCTAGTGCTCACACCGTCTGCACACAGAGCAGGCCCAGCCGCTTGCTACAGGTCTATGGCAGAACTATCGAGAGTGTACCAGGCACCATGACAAAGCTTGCAGACAAAGCTGAGCAGGGAGCCTGCCCTGACATGGACCACAGCCGAGATGTGCTGCAACCAAAGCTTCATGCAGCTGGGGCGATCATACTGACACAAGTGCAGTATCCAGCCAGTGTAGACTTTGGATAGCTCTACTGAGGGCTTAGTGATACTACTGGCTGCGTGACAGTGTGAGGAGACAATCCCAATGTAGATGGAGGGCGCCGGAAGGTGAGAAGGCTGAAGAGTTTCGACACAGGCCACAGGTGCAGTAACCCAAGAAGGCAAAAGGGCCAACCACTTCCCAACCCAGGCAGAGGCCTGGGAGGGTGCAGACAGACCCAGGCCAGGTGCAGGGGGGAGCTGGGCAAAGCCATGGCCCAGCAGTCCAAGAGGCTAGGAAACTCAAGTGATCCTGAAGATCTGAGCCAGGGCCAGTAGTGTTGGAACCCTCCGTGAAGGGCACAGTGTGGCAGAGGGATCTAGGAACGTGCTCAGCCCTAATACTGGCAAAGTCCAAAATGAGGTTCCACAGTCCATCCAGCCAAGAGAGCAGTCATTCCTCAGGCAGAACAAGGGGTCCTTCAGGAGAGGTAATCCCCCAACAGCGATTTACGGCACAAATAATCAGAACAGTGAACATTTACTGAGTGTTTACTAAGTGTCGGGAATTCTTCAGAGCCTTTGATGTGAATCATTGG